GGGGGACATCCCACGGAGCCACCTAATGAATAGTGATGGGCTCGGGCGTGTTCGCAGCTCCACGTGCCGAGCCCGCCAGGAAGCAGACAGCGCCAATCACGTGCACTGAGACATATCCCGATCTCTGCAGCTACGGACCGGGATAATGTCTCAGTACCTGTGATTGGCGCTGTGGCGCTGTCAGCTTACTGACGGGTTCGGCACGTGGAGATGCAAATATACCTTGATGGGTGGGTGTTCCTAGGCAGACTATAATTGCATGCAGCTCACCCTAGGCACCGCCCACATGTGATGCTCAGCCTCCGTGATTGGAGGAACTGAAGTCCTGAGGGGAAGGCCCGAATTCAGACTTCAAGTGTATGTAAAGTGAAAAGGAAATCTCTTTCTATGGAAATCCGTCCCACGTGTATATACAGGAGGAATTAAAGCGCTGTGTATGTATTCCACCCGGGGAGGTGGGGCCTGAGGGAATGTACTATACCCATACACGGGTAATAACATGGCACCCACGTACAGGGTAATGATATGGCCTCCCAGTAGACGGGTAATAACATGGTGCCCCCGTAGACGGGTAAAAATACGGCATCCGCGTAGACGGGTAAAAATACGGCATCCGCGTAGACGGGTAATAACACGGCATCCCCGTAGACGGGTAATAACACGGCGCCCCCGTAGACGGGTAATAATACGGCGCCCCCGTAGATGGGTAATAACACGGCGCCCCCGTAGACGGGTAATAACACGGCGCCCCCGTAGACGGGTAATAACACGGCGCCCCCGTAGACGGGTAATAACACGGCGCCCCCGTAGACGGGTAATAACACGGCGCCCCCGTAGACGGGTAATAACACGGCGCCCCCGTAGACGGGTATCAGTGCACTCTGGATGGATGAACACACCTGCAGGCAGTACTCGCACTGGTACGGTTTCTCTCCGCTGTGCGTCCTCTTGTGTCTCTCCATGTGATATTTCTGGATGAAGCGCATGCCGCACTCATCGCAGTGGAAAGGCTTCTCTCCTGGAAGAGATATTCATTTATATTACATAAAGAATTCCAGGACTACAGATGGACTATCACCCCCATCAGCTGCCCGGCTCACCTGTGTGAATCTTCTCATGCCGCTGCAGCAGATACTTCTGGATGAAACGCATGTCACACTGAGCGCACTGGAACGGCTTCTCACCTGGAAAACAAGAAAGATCAGAAACACAGATTACATGTGAAGCTTTTATCCAACTACCAGTCCGAGTTCTTTCACAATACAAGAAAACTTTTCTCCATACAGCCAGTGTAATTAGCTGAAATCTGTATTTGTACTGAGGTGAAAGCTGAAATCAGGCTTACTGTGGATGCTAAGTGGTAGTCCAACTGGGGTAACACATAAGAGGGACACAGAGGTCAGGATGGGCATTACCAGTGCAGATACTACTACCCCAAAGAGAAAACTAAAGGAGGAGCAACAGCCTGAGAAGAACTGAAGAGCTTTCCCCAAGCAGGGACCCCGGATCAAAAAGAGGTCTGAACTATTTTATCAATCGATTGGCAGTTCCTGAATTTTGCTTTTCGGTTGGAGCATTAATCAGAGGGAGATAGAGAGATACAAAGTAACATTGTTTATAAACATTGATCAGAGGGGGAGATAGAGAGATACAAAGTAACATTGTTTATAAACATTGATCAGAGGGAGATAGAGAGATACAAAGTAACATTGTTTATAAACATTGATCAGAGGGAGATAGAGAGATACAAAGTAACATTGTTTATAGACATTGATCAGAGGAGATAGAGATACAAAGTAACATTGTTTATAGACATTGATCAGAGGGAGATAGAGAGATACAAAGTAACATTGTTTATAAACATTGATCAGAGGGAGATAGAGAGATACAAAGTAACATTGTTTATAAACATTGATCAGAGGGAGATAGAGAGATACAAAGTAACATTGGTTATAGACATTGATCAAAGGGGAGATAGAGAGATACAAAGTAACATTGTTCACTTCTTACAGTCTTCATCATCTTCCAGTTAAATTAATACTCAACCCCCCCAATAACTTTCACACAATCACAGCAATTTTGACTTCTCACCCCCCTCATTGCGCACAGCCTCCTGGGATACTCACGTCACACATTCTCACCTGCCCAGTGAATCCTGCATTATTGTTACAATTTGCCCCTGCCCTGCAATCTACCCCTCTTACATAATCAGGGGGCAGGCAGCGAGAACCAGGCAGTGACAGCCACGTTGTACCAGAACATTGCTGGATTCATTGGGCAGACGTTCCCGTTTATTAAGAATAATCCAGCAAAAAAGGTCAATTGGAATTGAATTTGACAACTAGGACAGGAAGTGATGAGAAATCTTCCAATGGGGACATAATAGCTCCAGAGATTTACTCACTTCCTGTTGTGTCTCCTGGTACAGGAAGAGAAAATAACTATTTCCTATGGGATGCATACAGAGACAAAACCCCTAAAGGGGGTCTAACCTTTTGCTAGTCCATCTAAAACAAGAAAATAACCTATCTACATATTTCTGGGAGAGCCGGTATGATGTGTGCACACAGGCGCGCTCAGCAAGGGGTCACCTGTATGGATGAAGACGTGTCTCTGCAGGTGGTAGTTGGTTCTGAAGGCCGCGTTGCAATGCTCGCACACGTGACACTTGGGGATTTTCAGTCCCAGGGAACCGTCCTCGTTGATGGTCAGGATCTGGTGATGAAGCAAACCCACAACACAAGGCTATCAAACTTTACAGATGATGAGACT